ACGCGAAGCCTCAGCTTCTCTCTACCAGTAACCGTCGTCGTTTTAGCCATCGCCTACATTTACTTCTCCACAGTCTTCATTTTCATAGACCGTTGGTTCGGTCTCATGTCGTCGCCGGGCTTATTGAACGCTGCCGTTTTCACCGTCGTGGCCCTCATGTGCGTCTTCAACTACACCGTCTCCGTCTTCAGGGATCCGGGTTGGGTCCCCTCCACGTACATGCCTGACGTCGAAGATTCGGGTAACCCTATCCACGAGATCAAGCGAAAGGTATCAAATTCATGCCGTTTCTCTCTTAACGTTGTGTCGTGTTTATGGGGAACTAATTTCTTTTTTCACTTCTATACGATTGGATTGTTTTTTATTTTTCGTCACGGCCAGTTTCTGAATATGTTTCAAAATTGTGGCTGGAATTTTAACTAATCATAATGTGTTTTGGTGAATTGGGGTGTTTTATTTCTATAGCCAATGCATAAAGGCAGGGTGCTTTAGTTTGGATTGACTTGTTAGATATGTTATATGAGTTTATGGGATGTTGTTCTTTGATGATTACTTTAGCTGAGCTAATTTGGAATCGAGGGGAATCAGCAAAATAACATTTTTGCGTTTGTGTTAGTAGGCAATTCACGTAAGTGATTGAGTCACTTTGGATCCTGGTTTAGTAAAATTTTATAGCCATTGGTTACATATATATATATATATATATACACACACATACATATATTTGAAAAATCACTACAATTATGATGGAATTAAAAGGAAAGATGTAATTTTGATGGACAATGTATATATATATATATACACACACATACATATATTTGAAAAATCACAACAATTATGATGGAATTAAAAGGAAAGATGTAATTTTGATAGACAATGAGTGAAACGTTTTTCCCGAGACAGTAAAAACATTTGAACTTTTAAACTTGTAATGAAGCTGCCTAATGTTGCCAAGGAACTTGTAGATGATGAGCAAGTAGATAACTTGGGATGCATGCTCCACTCTAAAAGTCAACCTTTGTTCTCGAGGGTGGAATGCGTGAATTTTGCATTTCAGACCTTTGGAAGTCAGATAGTGTCAATATTTCAGTACATCCATCTCATGGTTTTCAATGTTCATTACAAATATAATTAAGTGTCATTAACTATATTTCCTTTCTATATATCTGCGAAGGCTTTGTTTTTAATAATTGCTAAGCCATGGTGGACATGTGGTTCCAAATTCCAATACTTGATATTTTGCGGTCTTTGGATGGCATTGTCTTACGTCGGCTTCTATTTTCAAAAGGAAAGTTCAGAAACATGATTACCGTTGTTTGTCGGGATCTTTAATCTCCTATACAAGTCTTGAAATGTTAAACAGGAACCAAAACCAATTCAATATGGTTGGCTTACCCTTGAATCCCCTGTCATTCCTCTTGGCTTACCCATGTTCCAGTTTCCCTGACAACTGAACAATGTCCTCACTTAAATTGAATGGGGCCAACTCATGTGTCTGTCGGAATGCTCGAATGCTGATACTCATGGGGTATGATCTTTGTACATATGCACAGAAATCAATGGCAAATCTATATCGGGAAAACTAACCGACTCTATTCTCAAATATTCACTTCTATTTTTAAACCTCTCAGATTTTTTCATTCAGACTTAGCTGCACCACCTAATCAATCAGTTTTTGCATAAAATGCCAACTTTTCTTTGCTCATATGTCTGCCAGTATGCTCCAGCGCTGATATTCACAGGGTACATTAATGGAAAATATATATTTGGAAAACTAACTAACTCTATCCTCCAACGTTCACTTCTAATTTTTAGTCTCACATTTTGTCATTCAGAATTTGTTGCATCTAGTCACTTGTTACGTAAAATGCCAACTTTTCCTTTGGTGGCAATAGCATTAGTGAACATCTGGGGGTTTGTGTGATCCCCCAGCTGAGTGAACGAAAACATCAAAACTTAAATGTTATTTTGTTCTTGATAGTATACTGTTCTCAAGCGAGATTTCTGTTATGTTGCCACATGTACTTGAGCTCTTGTGGGAACAGATGGGATGGTTTGAGCTGGAGATAGACCCCCTGGGTTAATACTTTTGTTTTGAAGAAGATAATACCGCCTTTCTTGTATTAAGAATTTACCGTTCTTGTGTCCGTTCTTTTAGATTTTTAAATTATGTTCTGTAGCATGTGGAAAGAGACTGATAATGTTTGTAGCTCATATCACCTTCTTTTTATTTCTTTCAATAAAGGTTTCATGTGAAGTGTTTATCCATCATAATTAGTGTTGTTATTTAAATAAAATAAATAAATAAAATTACTGGAAATTGGAATCATTCCTAGGAACATGTAATATTTGCTTGCAGCAGATTATAGAGAAGTGTTAGCCTTTGCTTCAACGTTATTATTACTTTTGTTGTTTTCTTTAAAAAAACAACGTAGTTTGGAACAATTCTTAGGAATGTATAATCTTTATTAGCAGCAAGATAGTTTGTAGAAAACTGTGAGTCTCTGCGTCCAAGATGACTGTTGGGTGGAATGGTTTTGCAGGGAGGGGATTTAAGATATTGCCAAAAGTGTTCTCATTATAAGCCAGCTCGAGCACATCATTGTCGTGTGTGCAAAAGATGTGTTTTGCGAATGGTATGCTTTATCTATGTTAACCTTTGATGCCTTGTATGTCCTGGATAATGTGTTAAAGTGCTGCCTCTTGGTTGTAAAGGACCATCATTGCATATGGATTAATAATTGCGTCGGCCATGCAAACTATAAGGTCTTCTTCATCTTCGTTGTGTATGCTGTAATGGCGTGCGTGTATTCCCTGGTAAGTTATTATTTTATTAAATCCTATTGGACTTTGAATTTTCTTTTTTTTTCTTTCTGACTGTGCTGTAATTGCATGCATTGACTGGCGTGGATGTTCTTTTCCATTATTACATGGGGAACTATGCCTTTTTCCTTTTGAGTACCATATGTTATTTTTGGAGCGCTAGAAGGCAATCCATTTGAGTGAAAAGATGGTGAATGTTTAAGACATAATTTTCTTTCCTTTGTTTTATTTGTTTCATTATTTTCAATTCTGAATTGACACTTAAAATTTTCAGGTCTTACTCATTGGTAGCCTAACTTATGATCCTGAAAAAGATGAGGAACAAACTGGAGACTCTTTTAGAACTGCATATGTAAGCTTATGTGCTGGGTTTGTATTTGAGCCTTGCATGCGAGACAGTATGCTTAACCTTTTTTTTTTCTTTTCATTTTCAGGTCATTTCTGGGCTGTTGCTAGTTCCATTGTGTGTGGCACTGAGTGTTCTTTTAGGTTGGCATGTCTACCTCATTTTGCAAAACAAGACCACAATTGAGGTTATTAGGAATTAACAAATTGTATATCATTGTTCTGCTCTTTGGTAGCAAACCTGATTTTGATATCTGGACCGCTATTTCATAGCCATTTCTTTTTCCTTCTTTCTGGCAGTACCATGAAGGAGTGAGAGCTATGTGGCTTGCAGAGAAAGGAGGGCAAATCTATTCCCATCCATACGATCTTGGTGCCTATGAAAATTTGACAATGGTATTTTTCCTTTCTGTTCTCCTTTCGTCCGTGAAAAATGTATGTACCCTCTTAAAGGCTTTGGGACACTTAGAGAGGGTTACCTTCCAGTCCAAACTCTTTTACATTCATTTATATATTTCTTGTTTCTCTTTGGTTGGAATGTATCTGTTATGGTATTATTTGTTATTTTTCTACTCTATTTTACACATCCATTACATTCAAACAATGTTTGACTGCTGTAGGTACTTGGTCCAAATCCCTGCAGTTGGGCACTCCCCGCATCGGGACATATTGGATCTGGACTCCGCTTTCGTACAGCCTATGATTATGCTTCTGCTGCATCAATGTCAGAATGAAGCTTTCTCGGTTCATAATCTTAGTTTGCATTGGTTTGAGAACAAGACTTACCAATGTGATGGGTTGGATGGTCCGATCTTGTGATGATGTCCAGCAGTCCTTTTCCGTTGTCCTCCTAGGAGTCGCTCCAAAAGAAGAAAAAGGCCTTTCCTCTGTCTCCTACTAATGGAATTATGGTCTAGGAGTTCCTGAAACTGTTCACTTCTGTTACACGATTTTGAGGAAGCAGTTGAGTATAGGGTCCTTGTCAATAGCCAAAACTAATCGGTGTTTGAGTAGCTAGATGCAGCATATGTGGGTTACTTTTTTTCCTTGTCTTGTGGTAGGTACCTTGAACTACAGTTTACAGTTTTACTTACAGCATGGTCTCCACTGATAGGTTTTGTACAGAGAGGGAATCAGCATCCCAGCTTACCAACCAAGGCACCTTTTGTAGAGGACACAGCGCGGGGTGCCTGTGTAACTTGGAAGAGTTGTAATCCTTTTGTAACGTGAAAATAATAAGAGAAATGGTGCTTTACTTTTTGTTTTTCCGAAAAGTGATGTTGTTTCCCCACCCATGTCATATTTTCCCACCCCAATTATTTCTGAATAAATACTCTTCCCAACCCAAGTCTATCGACACGCCATTCTTCTTCCTTCATATATTTTATTTATTTTCCATAAACCCTGTCTCCTTTATTTTACCAAAATCTAGCCCGTATTACGTTGGTTAGGTCAGTTAGTCAATGCAGTGTAAGTGTTTTTTGCACCAGATTTTGATCATCCTCGTACAATAGAGTAATTTAGATCTTTTCAAAAAGTTGTATTCCTCGCGCAGTCCTTAAGAGGAGTTTAATGTGGTAATGTCCATAATAAAAAGCAAGGGAGGGAATTCGCGCCAAACCACGTGGTGTCAAAATGGCTCTATCCGACTCAAGCATTACCCACGCGAGACGTCCATGCAAACGTTAAAACGCGCCAAAACCAAGGGGTGGACCATCAGTAGACATGCGGTAAAATATCTATCGTGCAATGCACGTGCCACTTTTAAACCGTAGATAAAGTTTCCACTTAAAAACTAAAGAGAGATGAGAGAGAAAGAGAGGGAGGAGGATATCTATATTTCTTCCGTGATTTGTTCGTATACACCACCAACTGAGCAAACATTTTGTATTATTTTTCAGTTCTCTCTGGAACTCACCGAGTTTGTCTCTCTGGTTCGAGATGGAGACCTACAAGGGAAACCCATCTCAAATCGACAGGTTTTGATTTCTGAGTTTCTATTTTCTGCTGAATTTAATGCCTTTTTACTCATTTTAAAGATCATCTCTTTGTTGTTAACTGTTAATGGTTACTGTTATCTGATTTGATGGAGTAGCTGAATTTGATCCCATAGCGTTTAAATGAGTTGTTTTGTTGAGTTGCAGCTGCAAAGTAGCTAAATTTGGAGTTGTTATTATCATCTAGGATAGAATTTAATGCAAAATGTTTTTTCCCCAAATATAAGTATTTAGTTATTTGGATTTTAAAAGAGGCAATTTTGAGATAGAGAGAAATTGGATCTCCTACTGTCCTATCCTTGGCCTCACTTGGTCACTGATCCAAACACAAGATCGATTTTTTTTTTACTCATTGCTAGTGTGGAAATTGTCATCAGACAGTGTAATTTTACTTGATTGCTTGCTTGCTGGGTGGTGTTTGGATTGGATGACCATTGACCATACAGTTTGAAGCTTGATGCATATTTCATGCCCTGATTTCTTCTGAAAAGGACATGAATTGAGTTTACTTCTGATTGCTTTTATGCCTTTCAGTTCTGTGACTATAGCTATCTTGGGGTGTTTTTTGGGTTAAAAAGCTAGGAAACCTGAAATTTTTTACAGTTCTTGTTTGCCTAAGTCATTGGTAATTTCTGGTTTTTCTCATCCTTGTTCTGCTATTACTATCTTAAACAGCTCCCATGTCACGAGTGTTCTGAAGAGGATCAAGAAAAGAAAATTCCAGGCTGAGCAATTGGGCTTGCCAATACCAAAGCATAAATGCTGGGAACGAATTTTTCCTTCTGATGAACCTGTCTCCATGTTTGATGAAAATCCGGAAGTAAAGAACATGCAGACACGCACAACAAAGGGAAAAGTAGAGGGAGTGATCCTGGATGGTAGGTCTGAATCTGAATCAGGAAAAGGTAGCAACAGTTTTGCTGGAGATTCTGATTCTGCAACATCGATTTATGTTGAAGCTAAACTAGAACAGGTGTATGCAAGGGCATGCCTAAATGACAGGCCTTCCACTTCATATGCGAATGAAGTGCATCAACCTACATATCCTGATGGCGAAATACAAGCATTTGAGAATTATGACGAGCACCTCCAAGAATTTGGAAACCAGGTGGATTACATTTTCTCAGAATATGGAGATGACTGCATTGAGCAGTGTAAAGACAAGGAATTTGAAGATGTTATATACCCCATTGGTTCGAACCCAAATAAATACATACTTTCATCTGGAAGATGGAGTGTGAATCAAGATAATTCAGGTGTCCTATTCAAAGTTTCTATTTGACGAGTTGAGAATAAAATGATTATTGCTATGTGTCTTTACATGTGGTATCTTTGTTTTATCATTTACTGAGTGGCATAACATTTTCATTGTTGTGTATGCAGACGTTCAATCAGCTAGCAACAGGAAGCCAACCATTGATCAAGAATTCGAGCAGTATTTTTCCACGCTAATGCTGTAGAACTCATTGCTTGGATGTGAGCAGCACATGTATAGTTTTTCTTTAACTTTTGTATGTGAATCATGTAACCAGTTCATGTTCTGACCAGCATTTTGTTATATATTCTGTTTAATCTGAAATGGGTTTTGCAAAGCTTCTCCTTTTCTCATTTTAGCTTCCTTGCATCTTAAATTTACATCAAATTATCTTCTTCTATTGGTGTGGGAGCAAATTGATGCTTCTGAGAAGAAAGATTAAAAGTTTGGCGTGTTTGAGAGCAAACCATTTTCTGGTGGCTGATGTTACTACTTACTAGCAAGCAATGTGACAGGCCCATGGTTTCTATACTTGTACTAAATGACCTTTAAATGAAATAAATTCGACAGGACCTTTCTTTAATCAATTTTGTTATTCAAATTCTACCATCATGAGCCTGCCAAATTCCATGCCTATCCAATTTTTTATTTATTTATCAACCATGCCTATGCCAGTCAACTCGTATGTTTCTGCAAAATTATGCAGACTTTGTTTTTCAGCAAAAGTAGAACTTCATTAACCTTTAAAATAAAGTAACAACCATTGAATACAAATAAAAAAACATGAATACAATAGAGTGGCCTCATTATAACCTTGCCATAAAACAACCTCAAAGAAGAAAAAATTTGTTTAAGAAAAAAGAGTATCACAGCACCTCCGACAAGAACAAACAAACACAAGCCTAACCCAATTCCCTATCTTTATAAGAAATATGCAGACTTAAAATATCAAAAAAGTACAAACAAGGAAAAAAAAAAGTCATTAAATATTGAATATTACACCATGAGATATATAAACAGAGAGAGAGAGAGAGAGAGAAAATCCGTGGTTATTATTTTGATGACTCGATCATGGATGTAGCAAAAGAATATGATCATTAATCATCATACGTAATTATAAGTTAAAGGCCTTAAAAGAGGAAAATTCAATACAAGATCACTCAACATGAGGGAAAAAAAAAATTGAAGAAGAGGGAAAAAAAAAAGAAGAAGAGGGAAATCCGGACACATGGTCAATCAAACTCAACACTTTGGAAGATCGGACGGTGGTGGTGGTAACTTCTGATTCGGTTGGGGCCCATCCTGAACGATCCACGCCATCCTTAGCCCCCAGCTTGTGTGAATGTCCAAGTGACAGTGCATAAACCACACCCCTGAAAACATATCAACAAAAGCAAATCTTTAATGATAATGTCAATTTTTTTTTGTTTAAACAAAATGTTTAGCAGTTTTGATTGATAGTTCACTCATTTTGTTACTATTTTAATATAATTCGTCTCGCATAGTTTTCTATGTTATGTTGTTAGACTGTTGATCATGTTATACCTGGATTGTCTGCGAAGAAACGAATCGCAAGCCAACCGCCAGCTGGAACACCAGCAGTGTTCCTCTCAGCAGGATCCACCACATTAAAATTAGCAGGGTCCTTAGTTGGATCATAGTTACCAAACCCAAGTCCAACAATAAAGAAATTAAACCCATGTAGATGGAGAGGGTGGCTCTCAGCACCCACAATGCTAGTGTCCTGAAGCACCAGCTCCACACTTGTGTTGAAAGGCAACACCACAGCCCTTGTGGCATTGCTCACATTAGTGATATTTGGTGGTGTTCCTGTATAATTAAATGCCACAAGTGGCTTGGTGGGAAAATCTGTGGTGTAAACTCCATTGGACTGTCCCGAAAAATGTGCTTGAAGCATTGCTGTTGATGGCAGAGCAAAAGAGAAATTGTTGACTGAGGCTGCAAATTTCAGGCCATTAGGTCCTTGGCATGTTGAGTTTTGGGGACATGGGGATGTTCCAAGTCCTATAGTGAAGAAAAATCTTCTGTCCACAGTTTGCGGGACGTTGGCTGGGAATTGCTTAGTGGCCAAGCTACGGAATTTTTTGGCTAAGTTTTCGACAAATTGGGTGACGTTGACAAACTTGGTGGCATTGATGGGTGGAAGACTTGGTCTGAAGAGGGGAAGGGCTTTGATGGAAGTGTGATGAGTGGTGTTTGGGAGCTTGTATTCGAGGATTCCAGCGGTGGTGGTGTTGTCTAAGGTGCCTGCACCAGTGAAGTAAGGCCGTGCGAGGATGAGGAAGGTGGCATTGGGAGAAGTGGGCTTGGTTTTGAGGAGGAGGTTTGTGGTTTGGCCTGGGGCAATGAGAAGGGTGTCGGTTTCGAAAGGTTTGGTGTAGACAGCATCAGCTTCAACCACTGTTAGAGAGTGGTTGGCTATGCTGAAGAATAGCTCATCGTTGAGTGCAGCATTGATTAATCTGAGGAGGTATGTCTTCCCTGGTTTCACCTTTAGCTTGAATACATCTGCAAACACCACCCGCTCACATAAAAACCTGTCCTATTTTTTCATGTTATGTTGTTAGATCATTAATCACGATCGACATAACAATATGTCTTATACACTTTTTACCTTTAGATGAACAGTTGTACAAGGGGCCTGGAAGACCATTAATGGTGTATGCATCTGAAACATTAGGCCCCCCTCCTGTCTGAAGAGCCTGGCTAATCACAGCCTCAGGGTCTACATTAAACCACTCTCCTGTAAACCCAAATCCATGGAAAGAGTTAAAACAATTTCCACAACATGAATGTCAAAATTTTCAAATGGTCCAAAGCCTAAATTCTATCTAGCTAGTTGATTACCAAGAATAATGGGGACCTCCTTGTAGGGTTTCACAAAAGGGTAAGACTCGTTGCGCTTCGGGAGAATGATGATCGGTCCATAAAGGGTAGATCTCAGCCATGAGATGTGAGCATGCCATAACAGAGTTCCTCTCTGGCCTGTGATGGTGAAGTTGTATGTGTATGCCTGACCTGTCTGTATAGGACATTGTGTGATGTAAGCTGGACCATCTGCCCATCCAGTTTGAAGTTGCCTAATCCCATGCCTGCTCTCTCCCACAAAACAAACACAAATTTGAATTAGCAATTTTTTATTTTTAACTATGCACATTTGCTAATTATGTAAATATATTTCATATATACCAGTGAATTGTGATGTTGTTGGAGACATGGTTGACCACTTTTATGAGGACTTGGTCACCTTCTCTTGCCACCAACCTAGGCCCTGGGAACTTTCCATTCACACTTAGAATGCTCCTTGTGTTGCACAATCTTGTCACATTGTGGTACTTAATCTATACAGCAAGGTTACAAATTTGAGAAACTTATAAAAGAATTATAATTCATGTATAGCAAAGTAAAATTGTTGAGGCTGAAGGTGATGGAAAAGAATGTACATTGAAAGTGTAGTGTCTTGTTTTGCCTGCAGCAAACTCCGGCATCCACGACGCTGCAACAAAAAAACCAAACAGCAAAGCTGCCATTGAAGTGAAACAAGGAAAATGAGGAGAACCCATTGCTCTTTCTCTTTCTTTCTGGTGTGATAATGTGTAGAGAGTCAAGGTGGCTTGACCTTAATATAGGGAGTTGGAAAAAGTTGGCAAGACAATTATATAATTGTTTTAAGTTGGAAGCAGGAGCTTTCATGAAGCTATTCACTGAATTTACTATTGAGATGGAATGTACTTGTGTCCTCCGCTTTGCTGTTGGTCGAGCTGAATTTTAGAGTGCTGATAAAGTAATACCTTACCTGTTCCATCTACACTAATTTTGATTACCACAATGACCTTTTGCTGATTGGGGGAAATTTAAGCGCAAAATCAAAGTTAAAATTGTCCTGATTATGTAGTTAAACAGTCAATTAATTCATGCTGTACTAGCTTAGCGTAGAAATGCTGGTAGCAATTAGTACTCTAGATGTCACATTAGGAAGCGGGCATCTTTCTTTTATCCTTTGGTCCTCAAATCTAAACAACCCAACAAAATAACTCTTGTTCCTTAGATTGTTTTCAACTTATGCTCGAAACGCTCTCTAATAATCTGACATGTTATGTTGTCGCACGTTTAAACCCGAACCTACGTAATAATATCATCAAGGGTTCATATTAACACGCACATAAGTAAAATGGGAGACTGGGCTGGGTCCCTTTGTTTGCAATCTTCATTTGGGCCTCCCCGTGGGCCTGGCCCCAACTGTTCTGTCTTGGGAACTAAGGAATAAAGTGTTGTGACCATTTTACAAAATAATAAAAATGAAGAGCTTCACGTCCACAAAATTCACTCCAAATCATCCACTTCCACATACATTTCTTCTGAAAAACATCCGTTAATTTTATTTATATAGCAGCTACATGTCCTAATTTCCAAGTCGTTCGATGAAAGTGATGTCCGATCTACACCACGTGTGAAAATAACAGAAATATATTTCATATTTGTGGTTTCTAGAAATTGGAATTTGCATGCGGTCAACACCCAACACAAGCTTCTTTGATGATTTTGTAACAATCTGTTTGGTCAAATTCAAAACAAGATCAAGTGCAGCAATTGCTTGGGAAGGAAGTGCATCAAACTCATTGCCCATAATAGTGTAGGACCATTATTAATTCTCCCAATATTGTTGACTGTCACATAATTTCCCATTCGGTTTGGTTCGGTTGGTTCCGCGGTATAAATTCCAGCCTAGTCACACACAAGTCAAATTGAGCTGGATTTTTTGCTTCATCTTCTTCATCACTTGTAAAAACAATGACATCTTTGCAAAAATATTGCAATTAATTTTTTAACTTTTATTTTTAGTTCCCCATCTGGGCATTTTACCCACTTGAGGCCTACAATTCTCCCTCCAGAGTCCACACCCACTCCGATATCATCACCCAATATACGAAAATGGAAGAAAATTACAAAGAAATAATAATAATAATAATAATATGCACAAAGAAAAACCAACAAATAAAATCTCCGTGTAGAAACAAAATGGTTTTGAACTTTTCAGGCACAGGCTTGAGTTCGAGGAGGCAGAGCAAACAGAGCATCGAGATCAGGGGGCTGGAAGTAACCATTCTTCGGTGGGTCCCGCTGCGTTTCCCCAGCCGCCTTCTTCTTCGGAGGCGGCGGACACAGAAGCATCTCCGGTATCTGGCACTCCCGCCGCTTCGGCGTCGCACAATCCTCGTCCATTCTCCGCCGTCCGATCAACACAACAGCTCCGTCACTCGGTCGATCACAAAACTCTCACAGTAGCAGAGGAGCGCGCGCTTTATATAAACGTTTTTCGAATTTGAAAACCGAAAAATGGGAATATGCGATCGTGTGGTGGGGGTGCGAGACAGCTAAGCGGTGAGTGGGAGAGGGACGACGTGTCAGATTCTTAATGGAGTTTTATATCCACGTGTCTTTCCACATGGGCTCATCCAGTGGCGTTTGTATTTTTTTAAAGAATTTTATTGTCGGCGCCAACTATGAGTCGGTGGTTTGCGCGGGAAATTAAACCCGTTTGAATGTTGGGCCATTTTTCGAAGTGTGTGTGTGGTCCAGATTGAATTTTAAAGGGAAGGCCGTGGCATATACGGCGGATGGGCCATGTCACGCTTAAAACGTGTCGTTTTCTTTCAGTCTCTGGGCCCACCTTTTGATTAAAATACATTAAATGATAAGAAGATGGGCGTGGAGGCTTGGAGTTGGTGAACTGATACCTTCATTCGACTACAAGGCCCAATTAGAGGATAAAATTGGTTATACTTTAGAAGGCCCAAAACCCTACACCCAAACTGAGCCATAATGCTCTATGTTGAAATCACATGTTGAATTGGTCATCCTTTCCTTCCCCATAACCACCACATTGAACATTCAGATTAGAACTATGTATCATGTTATCAAGACTCATAGTTTTTTCTTTTCCTTTTTTTTCAACTAAACTATATATTTCTCCATTTTGTTAGGAAAACAAAACTCAAGTTCGCAGCAAGCAAAACGACTAGAGCACGGTCGTAGTCCTCCTAACAACGTCATCATTGGGAAAATTTAAAAAAATTGTCAAATTTTGGACATTTTAGGTCATCTTCAGTCATAGGGCTATATGTAGTCCAAGACTATAATTTTAGCCCTCCAAAATATTAATTTTTTAAAGAATAGTGTAGGTCTAATTTTTTTCATCTCCAACTATATGCAGGGCTATATTTTAGGATCCTCCATATTTTATTATTTTGAGAAAACTATGATACAACACTCATACATTCAACTACTATGTATTGTTTAAATTAATTAAACTACTATTTAAACAATGGCAATTTTGAAAAAAAATGTTGCATTTCAAAAGGTTATGACGTCCCAACGATCAGAACCAATTGTTTATAATTTTTTTATATTTAAAACGTAAAAAGAAAAAGAAAATTAACGTTTCAACAAAAATTTATTTAAAAAAAAACTAATTTAAATACATTTAAAACTGTTGGGATGTTTTTAGTTGAAAGGCTTGTCTGAGCTTGTTGATTCTTGGACCGACATAGAATGGTGAATCAAGCATTCATTGTCCCTTTTTATGAATTAGCGAGAACTAGGCCCAAAACATTCCAAAGGAAAGGCAAGTCCTAGGGGAGTACTATGTTGTTCTTCCAGCGGCTGGGTATTTTGTATTGACATTTTTGGCAACTCTGAAAATAGGTGAGATGATTTGCTGATGTTGAATACAAATTGTATGAGCTTGGAGTGTGGGAGATAAAGACCCACAAGTTTAGCAAATGAGAATGCATGTGCTTGGTTTTGTGTTAGAATGTGTATAAAAGCATGCATATATATTTATTTTCCTGTATTAAATCCTAAAATATAATTCGAATTAATACATGACCAATTTATTCTTCATACGCCATATTGGGCTTTAAATGTCTTTGGGTTTATCATGACTTTTTGGGCCTCAACAAAAAGATTAAAAGAAAAAAATAATAACAGCGCGCCTTTAATATCAACCTTTGGATCGTAGTTGTACGAGATGCTCTCATACTCATGCCTATGCGTGATACTTTCTCTTCTTGGACAGCACATGCACTAGGCTCACAAAAAAATTTATCATGGTCTACACGTGACCTGGTTAGAGAGCTAAATGGCCAAATGTTGCCCTTAAAATTTGGCCAAATTTTTTTTAGCCCATGATTGGAGATGAGTTTTGCATATTTTGAGAGCTACATATGGCCTATGACTAGAGATAGCCTTAAAGATGTTTAGCCCATTTTTTAAATTTTTAGAATTTCATTAACTGAAGGGAGGTTCGAGCACTGCTTGAAAGGTCTTGAGGGGGGTTCGAGCATTACTGAAGGTGTTTCAAGAGAGCTCGAGCATTGCTCAAGACCGCCTCGAATGATATCCTCACAAATTTTCCAAATCATATCCTCACAAAAGCATAGACCCAACTCATCAAAGAAGAAGAGAAAATGACACCAAACGTATCCAAACAAAACCCAAACTCGTTATCTTATTAACTTTAAATGAATTCTAACCGTTTATGCATTGTGAAGGTCAAATGTACCAACGGTTACACATCGCGCAATCTCACAAGTGTGAGGAGCATACCTCTAAATCACATAGATACAAAAACAAGGGGTGGTGTTTTTCCAAGGTAGAAGAACTGTTATTGACTACTACGGGAAGATGCATCTGCCTGCCGCCCTTGCATTTCCAAGGACGACAGACTATTCAAGTGCCCTTAAGCAGACCCAGTTTCCTTAGGACCCACCCCTCCTTTTCTTTCTTGTTTTCACCCCAAAGAGATTACTTGCACCGTCACTTCTCGGATCAAGCCCTCCTCCAACACCAGGACGTCGACAGCTCGAGAGCCGCCCCCTCCATTTCCCTCGTGAACCTCGACACGAGTGGGGTCTTCCCATCACACGTGTCCCCACATGGCCCCACGTAAAAAAGGGTTGACTTTTGCAAACACTTCCAACCAAAGATTTCTGTGATTGTGTGTTTTTTTCTAATTTCTTTTTGTTCTTAACTGTGCCCACTCCACTTCTGCCTTCGCAAGCCGACGCCTCTCTCTTTCCGATTGTCTGACGGTCAACCCGAGTTTGTGTTTTTATGCGGGTAGGGTCACAGAGAAACAGAGCACCCTCTAGAGGTTTTCTAGGATTCAAAAAAGTCAAAGCCACAAGCCGCCAAACCTGCCCTCACTCTGAAGCAACCACTCGGTTCCCCTTGTGTTTCAAGATAAACTTTCTAAATAAGTTATGGTGATGGTAGTTGAATAATACCACACACACCCTAGAATTTTTTTATTTTTTTTTCAACACGTCATTTTCTAGTTCTGATTAACAATCTTGCAACATAACGTAACGATAGGTCATTTCTCGTAATGCAAAGTACTAATAACCTCTTAATTAATGAATTTGGATGGGCATAATTTAGTTTAGTTGCAAGAATTAATTTTGTTTTCTCTTGTGAGAACGATGGAGGCAATTGTATGTGTGTGGACCACTATGTTGGTATTTAGGCATAGGCACTGACTGTTTGCACCGCCAGCCCATCGACTGCAAAAATGTATCTAAAGATCTAAAATAGTGAAGCGTAGAGATTTGGAAATTAGACATGGTTCAAGTTATATAATAAGCTAGTGATTGCTTGGAATTATCAATAAATAAATAAAAATCTTGGGAATTATGCACTAAACATGCATGCTTAGTCTTCTATGAGTATAAACCTACGGGAAGGCTTTAATTTTTATCTTCTTTTAGCAAATATTCTATGTTTGTATAGTAAAGCATCTAATCTCATCGGTAATCATTTATAACCATTCATTACATTGACTCATGGAGCAAGGAGAGAAGATCAATCAGATCAGCTGCAAAAAAAAACAAAAAAACAAATTTAGTCTATTATGGTTTTCATGACATTTGAGCAACTTTATGTTATAAGTTTTATTAAGGAAGATACATTTGAACCATATCCCTTTTTCCTTTTCTCTCAAAGGTATCATATGGATTGGGAATCTATGCAACTCATCCCGCACGATCGAGACGAGTTCGACAAAAAGAGAGTTGAGAAAAAAGTTGGGTTTTATAGCTTGATCCCTCTAATTGAACTGTTTTTTTTATAGTTCAAAAGTCATCATACTTCATCTACTCTTTAAACTATATCCAGGTAGCCAATTATATGCTTCCTTAAAGAATTCAGAAAGAGTGATAATGAAGATCAATGTTTTAATTTGTTTATTCAAAGAAAGAGAGAACAACTCTTCGAAAAATAATGAAAAGGTATATTTCTATTGATTCTTTAGTGGTTGACTCTTGCTTTGGTTGAGATTGAGATTGGGTCATGGGTCAGGTAGCTTGGTCCACCTTAATGCATCTATCCCATCAAAAACACAATATAACAAGACAGACAAAGAACACACTTAAATGAAAACACAGAGAAATGCAGCAAACCAACAAAAGTAAATTAATGTCTCCTCCATAATTGGCGTTGCGTAAAATTTTCCAAAATCAAACTTACCTCGGCATGTATTTTGGAGAAATTATAGAATACTACGATAGTATGGTCATATGGTATATTTTGTATACGTGTTATAATATGGATGAATGACATGATTTATTTTCTTCTTTTAAAGGAATAATATCAATAAATATTCACTCATATTATAACACGTATACAAAATATACGACGTGACCGTATTATCGTAGTATTCTATAATAATCACTTGCATTTTTCGCACAAAAAATATCAATAATAATATAATGAGGTGGTGCCAAATGTTCAGTTTACCAAATATGTTAGTGTTTGAACGGGAAGAGAATTCTTAGTTAAGTCAAAGTAGAATCCGTACAAAAAACCAAAACCCTCTCGCTTGCTTTTAAAGTCAAGCGGCAAACACGTAGACGTGACACCTTCCCCTCTCCATCTGCTCCACCCTTTCACTTCTTTTATTTCTTCATGAGCTTTTCATTTCTCATCTTATCAACTCATTTTCTTTCAGCCTTCTTCTTCTTCTTCTGTTAACAATGGAGGACGCAATGGGTGCCACGTGGTCCGACGGGTTGGAGGAAGAGCTTGTGAGAGAGCTTCTGGACAATGAGACACCATTCTTTGTGCTACCAGAGGAGGCTCTACAATCCCAGATGAGTGTTTCCAGTGAAGATAGTGTTGTTAATCGGTTCATCCCGACCGTCTATTCTGGTCCAACAATCAGAGATATCGAGACTGCTTTGTCTGTCACCGCTGGAACAATTCAACCCCAAGAACTTTCACCGGCTAGGTTTGTA